AAACACAGCTATGCCCAGACATACAATAATCAAGATCTCAGAAATTCAATATAAGAACAGAATACTAAAAGCCATCAAAGAAAAGAAACATCACCTATAAAGGAAAACCCATCAAAATCACAATAGACTTCTCAACACAGACCATCAAATCAAGAAGAGCTTGGAGAGAAGCATTCCAAGCCCTGAAAGAAAATAACTCTAGCCCAGATTGATGTATCCTGAAAAACTGTCTCTAGAAATTAATGGAGAAACATTTTCCATGGCAAAGAGGAACTGGGGGAATTCGCAACCACCAATCCAACCCTACAGAGAATACTGAAGGACATTCTAGAGAGAGAGAGAGAGAAAAAAATACCAGGATATCAGGAACAGTGGCAGAGAGGCCTCAGTGAATGGAGCAGACAGTGGATGGAAGGAGAAAAATAGACAACTAATGGCAGAAAAATAGCATAGTAGAAATGAAGCAGAGAAGTTTAGCTATAATCTCTAACATAGATGGCCTTGATACACTAAAAAAGGAAAAGAAAAAAAGAAACACAAGCAGAGTAAGTCAGGAGGTAGGGTCCACCAAGATGCACTGTATAGGAAATATAATTAACCTGAAAAAGGGTTTATGGACCGAAAATCAAATATGAGAAAAACAGTGCTCTATGTGACAGGGAACCAGAGAGAAATAGGGGCAACTCGACCAGCACCTGCAGATAGGTTGGAAAGACAGAATATTTACGTGCAATAGAGAACTACTTAGCTATAACGAAGGAAAACCTGGAGGCTATTATAGGTAAAGAAGTACAACTTGAGATCTAGTCCAGGAGGGGAAAGGTTCGGAACCACTTAGGTAAATAGCAGGTTGCCCCCTCAATCTAAAAACTGAGGGAGTTGGTGGGACTCATAATGCACAGTGCACCCTGGGGGAGTGAAAGGGGAGAAACAGTCTAAAAAAAGAAGGCAGAGGATAGTGAATTAGAACTTAAAACCCACACTACTCACACTGCTCTGTTTAGATGGGTTATATTTTGTTCCAGTTTGTCTACTTGTATTAGATTTGAGGGCACAGACAACTATCCCGAAAACAGCAGGATATACTGCGGTAATCATCCTTAATTTCCTATTAACTTAATCTGAAGACCTGTATAATTTACACTGTTTTATCATGACTTATCTTAATTGAATCTGGCTTGTTAGATTGCTGTTTTGTATTGATAGATTTTATTCAAGTCTGTTATGATTGATAGTATCAAGTCTGAGTATAGGCAACTATACTGAAGATAACAAGATTCACTAGGATACCCACTCTGTTTGATTATTACCTACTTTTGAAGTTTCACACGGTCAACAATGTTTTGTTTTTATTAATATTGTTATGTACTGCTACATTCAATTATACTATGCCTGATGATATAGACAATTCTATTGAAGATAACAAGGGACAGACAACACAGTAACCATGTAGATCACCTTGTACTGTGGTTTTATGACTTTTTTGTTTCCTATTTTTATAGGAATTTGTTTTGTTTTGTCTTGCTTTGTTTTATTTTTCCGTCTAATACAGAAAGGATAGAAATACATGTAGAGGCTCATACATGTGTAGAACCTATAAACAATTTATGAGAACTGATTATATAACGCATGATGAGATGAACAACTACTTTAAAGAAAAAGAGACACTACAGTACCCAGTGCTGATATTGTAGCATCATGATCTGAAATCCAGAAAAACTATTATGCTTTGTTTGGAGTGATTTTAACCCATTTGGTTTTGTTTAATTTCACATACATGTACATATGGACAGCTATTTTGAAGAGAATGAGAGCCACTATGACAGCCATTGTTGACTTCCCTATTGTCTGTCTTGACGACCAAAAATGCCTTCTTCATCCTGTTCAGATCAGTTCTGTACTATGTTGTTTTATGTGAATTCTCTGTATGTAAAGATATGGTTAACTATTTGGAAGAAAACAAGATACAATAGATAGTGAAGATCTCTGATTATCTTGCTTTGAAATTTATGTGTCTTACATTGCTTTCTTATGTTCTGTTTTGTTGTGTTTAATTTTACCCTCTTTAAATTAAAAATATTAGTTGAACAGCTAGAGTTTTACCATAGTTATGAGATAAAAAGATGCTTAATAACTTTTAAAATTTATTTATTTATTTTTGGTACCTGGAATCAAACTTAGGACCTTGTGCTTGCCAGGGGGGCACTTTGCCACTGAGCGATATCCCTGGCTATACTTTTTATTTAATAGCTAATTTTCAAAGCAATTGTTAGATATATGAAATGTTATATTACTGGAATAATTACAAAATCAATACTGCAGTTTCTTTAGTCTGTTATGTCTTCTATAGATAAAACACATATCTGTTTTTTTCCAGATATTTGATTTTTTAAAAATGAGAGTAAATTTAGCATAATTGATTTCAGTGAATTTTTTAAAATTTCATAAACACGTGGGCTGCTAGAAGAAACTGGTACTACCTCTGCCAACACTTGAATATCAATGACACTTTTTAAGTTCTATGGTAGAAGAAGGCTTTGTGGATATAACAGTATTATATTAGTTTTGAGATCTAGTATTAGTTTGAGATTGTTTGAAAGATAAGATTTCTTTATAATTATAATTTCATAGGTCCAATAAGTATTTGTTGAATGAAGACAATTTCCAAATCCAACATAACATCATATGTTATCTTGATTTATAAATTTGTTTATAAAGCAGTGTCCTTTTAAAAAATAGTGTGATACATGCTTCTTAAAAGTCTTTCCTGACACTTTTTTTTCCTATTTCTTCTTACCCTTAGATGATCTTTTTGTAGCTGTCTTTTAAGAGTTTCTTAAGCTTTTGTCCTGGGATTTCTCTCCATGCTATATATTCTAGGCTTTTAAGCAGTTTATCCATTTTGATGGTTTTTCCCAGACATCTGTTTTCTACTTTCTACTTTATTTTTCATGACTAGATCTATTTGCATGTTTACCTACCTAACATCTCCAGGTCATTCAAGGCAGTTCAGGGATGTGTTCACCATTAAGCTAGTTATCTTGCTTTCCCTGTCCCACCACCACATACGCATTTGCATAGACATGTATAATGCATACACTCACCTATCCTGTATGTGCTTGTCCTCTTGCTTTGAAAGGCACAGTAAGTAGCAGGCCTGGAATCTTTCAATGAAGTCTTCTAAATGTGAATCTTCAGCTCAAAATACGTTCTGTAATGTGGATTCTGAGCTAACATTAAAATGCATGCTCCTGAATTAAAATATAAGATGCATGCTCTAACAGTATTTGAAGACTGAATTGTGAAGTTGTACCACATTGCTTTTAGTCACTGTGTTAAATTGCCAGCATAGGAGTGGGACACTAATAACCACATGAATGATGTAAAATTGCCTTTAGGATAATACAGTGAGACATATATAGCATAAAATAGATACATTTGTATTTTTATTTATTTACTTATTTAGTTGGTCCTGGGGATCAAACTCATGACCCGACGCTTGCCAAGCAGGCGCTTGTGCCACTGAGCTAAACCCCCAACCCTACAATTGTATTTTTTAAAAAATGATTTGAACTTAGTGGGGAGGTGAGGTAATTTTTCCTGGCAAGTGGTAATTTAATTTGAAATGTGAAGAATGAATGTATTTGTTTTAGAAGAATGGAAGAGTGTAAAAAGGAAAATGAGACAACTTGTACAAAGATCTGGTGATAGGGAAAGCAGTTGTCCAAAGTAATTAGTGCTTTTCTTGGAGATCCCCGCCTTTTCCTTGTCTTCTTGCCTCCTTATTCTACAAAAAAGTTTGAAGCTGATACTTACATTATATAGAGAGTAGTAGAAAGCAAAATGCTTGAAACCACATAGTAGACAGTGATTTGAAATAGAGGAATCAGGAAATTTAAGTAAGATGGGAGTGAACACTTGCCAGTTGTAAGCCCTGCACTTTGGGAGGCTGATGCAGAAGTATCATCACAAGGTAGTCCCTGTCTCAAAATAGAAAGAGGTGCCAGTAATGTACAATAGGGTAGAGCACGCTTCTTTTCAATTCCTGCTATTCCCTACTATTCCCTGTTCCCTAAAAAATAGCCAGGACTTGTCTAGCACCAGTAGGTAACACTCAAAAAGTTTCATGGTGAGGGTATTTTTCTCTTCTTACTGTCACGCTAACCTTTATAGTCACTGCCCTGATAAATTTTGATAAAGCAGGAAATTACTGAATCTAAGTACTAAATTTCAAAATCTTTACTTAAATCTTCCCTCCTTCTCCTCCTTTCCTTCTCCCTCCCTTTCTGTCTTTTCAGATACCAGGAGTTCAACTCATGACCTCATGCTTGCCAGGCAGGCGCTTATGCCACTGAACTAAATCCCAGACCCTTGTGATTTCTTTTCCAAGTGCATTTTTTTTTACTGTGAAGTTCACTATTCCATGTAATGTCTTTGTGTTTGAAAATTCATTCAGATCATAGAAATTATTTTAGAATGTAAAGTGATTTTTGAACCACACTGAAGTACTCTCTAGTCTTTGCTTTCTAAACTCAAGGACTCTGTACTTTTGTTAATGATATGTTAAACATAATTCTAAAGCTATCAAAACATAATTCTAAAGCTATCAAAATTTTCTTCCACCTGCTCTTACTCAGTTCTCAAATAGGAAAACTATGTTATAGGTTAAAGCTGTTTTAGAATCAACTAGATCGATCCTCCCAAAATCTTAAGCAATTTGCTTATGTATGCTTTGATCTTTGCTTTTGTTTTTTCTTTTATGTTTGTCTTTCCTTATCATGGTCCAGTGTTCAATGTTCATAAGTTTCATACAGTGTTATTAAAAACTAGCGAGGTATGGTGGCACACCCTGTAATTCCAGCATCTAAGGGGGTGATACAAGAGGATTGCAAGTTCAAGTCCCAGCTAGGCAAATTAGCAGTTTAGTGCAACAGTCCTGGGTCAATCCCCAGTATCCCGGGGGGAAAACAGAAACTTAGTTCCCGTCTTTTTCTCTGCAGAAAGGGCTTTCGCAAGACATGAAGTTCGAGAAAGTGAGCAGCGACATACACTGGATGGACCTCGGCAAGATGCAGCTTTAGATGAGGAAGAAGACATGGTGATCATTTATAACAGAGTTCCCAAAACTGCAAGCACCTCATTTACAAATATCGCCTATGACCTGTGTGCAAAGAATAAATACCATGTTCTTCACATCAACACTACCAAAAATAACCCAGTGATGTCATTGCAAGATCAGGTAATTACCACATAGGGCATACACAGATGTTTTCTTATACATCCTTAAATTGTACATCTCAAAGGGATAAAGTATTTTAAAAGGAGTATGGGTACTGAGTTTAGTAAGCCTTTTACAGGAAAAGACAAACCAACTTTTGTGTAATTTTACATCCTTCACAGTATTTGAAATATTTCCATGCATATATGTTCAAGTACTTGTGAAGTATATGAATTAATAAAAAAGTTTTTGAATAAAATATTTTTATATTCAGAAGTAGCATTTTAAGAAAATGAAGTATTTTTGCCAAGATACCCTATGATAAAATTATATTGTTTTAATTTATGATAGAGAAATATGTTTTGAATACTTGTAACTCAATTCTGTGACTGACTTCCCAAATCTCTTTAATAATTTTTATATAAATAATAACCCAAGCTGCCTGAAGAACTGGAATTGTGGCTTATGTCTTTAGCATAATCTTGCTTTTTAAACTTTCAAGAAATTTTAAGATCAACAGATGGATGGATAACTATGATTTGTTTGTAAGAAAAATGAAGGAAATTATGAAATCAGGTTTTCTCATCTCTTTAGTAACAGTAGCCTACATTTCTCCCACATCCAGAGATTTAACTATACTTAAAAATAAACTTATGTCTGTAAATATTGAAAGGAATGAAAATTAGACCTCATGAGAAAAAAAAGATAATATTTGAAAATACTATATAGCTTCAAATGCCATATTAGAGTAGCTTTTTGTACATTATGTATTACAAATCATACTATAATTGATATTTATCTGTTTGAAAACAGCTGAAACTGTTTTATTGTTAGAGTTGACAGTTTTCCCACAATTAAGTGTAAGTGTAGTTTTTACACTGAAACAAGAGTCACTTTGATACATGAGGTTGAGGTAGACCTTTTGATTAGAGAGCTGTTCATGAAGGCTAATGGCATGTGTCATATCATCTTCCCTTGTGATTCTAGGCTCACTGCAGGATCCTTGATTACTCTTTTTCAGAGAACCAAAAATACACATCTATCAGCCAGACCAAATAATTGTTCTGTAAATGAGAAGAAACATGAGCTTTTTTAGCTAAGTGGCTCATAAAGCCTATTCATTATGTAATATTGTGTAGCTCAAGGCAAGCATCTTTAATATTCTGTTTTATACAGTATGAAGTAGATTTGAAATTTGTTTCCATTATTCCCTTTCATAATTCACCTTTGTTTAAAAAGAACATGCTTCAATGTTCACATAATTTCAGATCTCAGCTGTATGTTTTAGAAAAATGTTAGCTTGTTTGTTCAATTTTTAGAGTTCTTTTGTGTCTAGCATTATAAAATTTTCTGGCAGCTACAAGATATCTGGCAATGACATCAACCTTTTTTTTCATGAAATATAGATCTGCAGAAGCTCACCACATATACATTTATAGACATCGTGTAGTAGTACATTTTCCCAGTTGAATTTGCATAAGATAAAGCTTCCGTTTTTCTTTCAATAGCTTGTTAGTTATGTATAGGAAAAAGGAGACACATAAGTGCTGTTGTTAAATCAGTTTGATTATATAATGTGTAACATTTAAAACATTTGTGTAGGCAGAGTTAATCATTAGCTGACGCACTTCCCAAAAATCAGCCGGTAGTTCAAAACGTGGTGCGACTGGCTTGTGTAGAATTAGGCTTGTCTAATATGCAATATCTGCAATTTACTTATATGTTGTTATACCTAGAAACAGTTTTTAAAATCAGATCGTATTTACAGGTTACTTTACTTTGCCTGATGATATATTAGATAGCATTTTTATTTTCCTCTGAATCAGTAAGCTTTATCTGAATGTAAACTTTTATTATTCTTAATTATCACTGTGAAAATTTCTTTTAATTCAGAATAGTATGGTTTAAAATAATGTAATAATTATCATTGGCTCTAAACTAATTTTAAGATGTCATTCTTCTAAATCAAAAAATAAGAAGAATGTACAAGGAAGCAAAAACTACAGAAATGTCTGTTGGGTACTGGAAGTTGTAACACTAAGATACTGTAACAGAGTCCAAATTATAAAACATGCAGGAGCAAGCTTTCTTGCTTTATCACTTCCCTGTAAAATATATCAGCAACCTCAGAAATGCAAGAGTACCACCACTTGGCTAAGAGCACCCTCTTCCTAAGAATGTAGGTAGTCATTCACTATACTTCCTTTCTCCAATTCCTCATCAGAGCAATGCTTTTTCTCCAAGGTAAGAATAACATAGGAGTTCTTATCAGAAACAGAACTCAGAGCAACACTTTTGAGGAATGCTTTCAGCATATACTATGTATGCTAATTATTAGTTAAAATGCAGATTCTGATTAAGAGGTGCCAAGATAGAGCCTGATACTCTCATTTCTAAAACTCTTCCACTGAGTGCCAAAACTGATGCTGCTGGTTCTTAAACCATAGTTTGAGCAGCAGTGATGTAGAACATGGTTCTTGATGAGGACATAGAAAGATGCTTATATTCTTCCCCAGAAGCTTAATGTAGCTTTAAATTCGTATTCCTGTTTCTGCTTTAAAATCCAGATTCCTTACCTAGGCCAGTAGGCCCTTTCTAATCTAGTCTTTGTCCAGTATTCTTGCCTTCTGTTGATTATATATACTATTTTAAGGCCTCTGCACTTACATTTCTTTATTTTTTGGTATCAAGGATCGAACTCACAACCTCATGTTTGCCAGGTAAATGCTTATGCCGCTGCGCTAAATCCCTGGCCCACATTTCCTGTTAGAATATCGCTCTCTCCTGCTTTCTCCCTTATTTGGCTTCATGTTAGCCATTTAACTTCTTAGACTGATGTTCTTTCAAACCAGACTGGGCTACCCTATATATGAAATACCTCTGCCAAGTTAGTACTCAGTATCAAATCACTCTGTATCCTTCCTGTAGTACTGTCAGCTTATAAAATTATCCTGTGTGCTGATTTAGTTGCTATCTATGTATAAAATTCTGTTACAATGAAAAGCTACTTATTGGAAGGAACCTTGTCTGTTTTGTTCACCACTATATCATTTGTATTTAAAATATTACCTGAGACATAGTAGATAACACCACAAGTTCTTTTGCTAAATGAATGATCAATGAAAAAACAAATAAGCCAATTGGATTCTAATAGTGATTCATAAACTGAGTTTGGTACCATGATGATAATTATGGGCCAAATGAACCCCTGTGGTTGATAGCAATATGATCTGTGCTACCTTTCAGATGATTCGCTAACCTTCCTCCCCATCTCACACCCAAAATTTGAGCAACACAGCTCTGAACTTTAGTAATGATACCCTGAATAGCTGCAGAACTTTGCATGTATTTTTAATCTAGCATTATTTAGTCTTCCTTTAGTGCAGAAAAATTCCTTGCTGGTTTAGTCTAATAGAAGTACCCATAGCCATATAAGAAATGTTTATTTTAAGTAGATGCATGAGTAGAAGTATGGTATATAGCAATTAATCAAGTTAATAGTAGGATTCACTCAGTAGATAGTAATTTCAAAGTTGAACTTTTGCCAAGATGTTCAGAATGACATTTCTACGGTTTTAGGTAGTGAAAACAAGTCCTTTTGTGATCATAGATAATTACAGTGTTGAGGTTAACTTATTAGCAGTGTAAGTCTCAATATTACTGTTAGTAAGATGGAGGGTTTTTGTTTTTTTTTTTTTTGTTTTTTTTTTTAGCATTTTCCTATTATTGGTTCAGTTCCAACTCTGCAAGCAAATAGATCACAGTACACTACCTACATTGCTGTATTTTCCCAAAAGGTATTTTGTGATTACTTACCACTCTGCTTGAGTTATAAAATCTGACCAAAAAAACCAGAGTTTAGAATCTGCTCCAGGCTAGCCATGAAACTGTTTTTTTTCCATGTAGTGTATATAACTGCTTCTGGAACATCCTTCTTGATAGCATATTTCAATCAGGGTATGAAAATTCTCTGAATAAAGTCACTATAGTGGCTTTATTTCTTCTCTGTATGGCAGAACTTTCATTCAAGTTTCACTTTATACTTTTAGATTTTACTCTTCTGCCTGTTACTTCACCCTTCATTAATACCGGATGTAATCATGAGAGTCCACAAAATGAACTGAGGTCTGCTCCTCTGATCTGTGCTTCCTGGTCTTGCTCCCCTGTGTTCCAGAGCCCTGTGTTGAGGTACTGGCCCAGTGGAGGAGAATACCAAAAGGGAACAAACTGCAAGACAGAGCAAGCCTACAGGAAATGAGAAAATGATTGAGGGGAAACTGGGACTGGACTGATACAAGGGGCAATGGAGGAGATGAAGTGGAGAGGGAAACTTGGAGCAACAAGGGCATAGATGCTAACCATAGCTAAAAGGAGAAGTGGCTGAATTAATACTGCAGGAAACTGCTTTAGGAAACTCTTTTCCAAAGAGGTGATTTATGTTCTCTCCTTGGAAACAACTTGGAAGAAGAAATAAGAGCAATATGGAATTTCAGTGGCACATGAGTGCCACTTCTAAGTGTTCAGACTGTTCTCCAGATTAGTGTGAAGCACCAGTCTAGTCTTACTGACATCATTTGTTTGCTTAGCACTTTTTTCTTCCCTGTAAAGGAAAGGTCAACCTCAGCTCAGCATCTTCTGATTTATTGCACATTGTGAGTCGGCCACAGCTTTATTAATGAGACTTTAACATATGGCCTTCATTAATGTTGAAGAAATGAAAGAAAAAGTATGCATCTATCTTGAGCATTGCTGTTATTTGGATCTTAGATGCCCCTCAGTGACCCTTGTGTTAGAGGGTTTTGGGGAAGTGGAAGACACTTGTAGTAAATGTGCTGCTGCAGTGAGAGCTGGAAGACACTTTTTAGGGGTAGGGCCCAGAGAGAGGTGTCTACAGGTCACCTGGAGTGGGGTGACCTGAAGTGGGGATCAGATTGCCATCCCCTTTCTTCATCTCTGCTCCTTGGTGAGGAGGTGGATGGTTTCTACTGTGTGCACTCACCATGGTCTGCTGTGTCACTGTAGGCCCAAAGCAAAGGTGCCAGTGAATCACTAAAACCTCCTCAGCTGTCAGCCAAAACAAACTTTCTTTTTTATAAGTTGATTGTCTCAGGTATTGGTTATATTGATGAATGTTGACTTAAACAAATATGTAGATTTTGATCTTTTAGTTGGAAGATTGAAAAGGAGATTCTGGGGGCTGGGGATTTAGCTCAGCGGCATAAGTGCCTGCCTTGGAAGCAGGCAGTCGTGAGTTCGATGCCCGGTACCGATAAAAAGGAAAAAAGACAAAAAAGAAAAAAGTAAATTAAAAAAGAAAAGGAGATTCTGTGCATTTGGGGAACTTTAATAATAATAGAATTAGACAACCTGTAAGTAATTATAATCTACCTACATTTACCTCAGTGTTACAAATTTAGGGAGTAAGGCTCAAAATCCTACAAAGATAGTTACATTTAGTACCTTGGGGATTATTTAAGCACATGCGCGCACACATGGAATAAACCAAGGGACCAAGGGTCTTTGTTGAAATGGTTGCCCACAGTCGTAATGATCTAAATGGGTTGGAAGTTGAGATTGTGATAAAGGTAACGAGTAAATTGATAAGGAGATAAAAATTGTATCAGCTGAACCTTGAGATTTTAGAAGTAGAGGAATTGAGACAGAGAGAGAGAGAGAGAGAGAGAATGAATGCTGGTGATCAAACCGAGATCTTCCTACACACTAGACTAGTACTATATCATTGAGCTCCACACCCAGCACAGCTGGGGGAATTTGAGCAACTGAATTTGAGGGCTTACTATAGTAGTTGAATTTTTCAGTATCCCAACTTTTTGATCATTTGTTTGTTTGTTTGTTTATCTATAAAATACAGAGTAAAGGTTGTTCCTGATTGCTTCTGTCTCTAGAATTCTGATTCTGTAAACAGAGGAGTTTGGGATTGGTTGAAGCAGTAGAAGATTCATGCCTTGTTCTTTTGCCTTCAGCAAATTTTAGCTGTATCCAACTCAAAATACCAACCTTTTTGCTTATTTCATTAATTTTTGAATTATGCTTCTTGGAACACTTGGTTTCCAGTGTGATTCAGGCATCATTGAGGACTGGGAGTTTGAGAAATGAGACTGAGCTGGCAGGGTTGATTCTGCTCCTGCTCCCCCTTTCTGTTTGATGTACTGCAATAGCTTATAAAATTATCAAAAATTTTCTGAATTTTAATTTATTTTTACTGAATATGAAGCTAACTTTACTAAAGAGCTCCTCCAGACCTCAGGCCTCCTTTATGAGACTAGAAAAACAAGCTTCAGGAGCTTGTTTATTGAAGTCAAAAGCTAGCTCCTGGGCCTGTGCATGCCTTACTCTTCAGTTGGCCCATGACCTGGAGATGCATTAGAAGCACAGAATCCCAGCCTCTGCTCCGGCACCACAGTCTACTGCGTCAGAGTCTGAGTTTTAACAAGAGTCCCAGGAGAATCAGAGGCACATTCGCCTTTGAGAAGCCTGGCAGCGGTCAAGTATTACATGGCTCCATACACTTTCCACCTCGTGTTGGCCATCCTTAGGAACACCGGAGGAAAAAGAGTGTTTAAAAGTTTATCCCCAACTCTTAACTTCTGCTAGTTTTCAACATACAGTACTCCATCCAAGTTTATACTGTGGTCCTATCTAACATTTGGATTGCATAGCAGCGTTTTCTCAAGACTTCAATCTGGCATCTCCTTTTGTATCCCTCCTACACCACCGTGTCCATATTAAACCTCTGCTTCTGAAAAGTGTAGCTGAATTGCTAAATATGTCTTAGGCTCTCTTCAACCATCACCGCCAATTCCTTATTCTCTTTGCTGTAGATTTCCCTCTGATTTTGACTGAAACAGTGAAACTAATTTTCATAGAACCAGAAGTTTGTATGACATAGTTTACCATTAAGTGTTACCATTAAGGAACATTTTCACGTGTAGCTGTTTTTAAGGATGCAGTTTGGGATTATCCAATTTATTATTTTCCGTTGCTTTTCATTTACCATTTGATACTTTAATTCTATTTTGAATCTTATGTGAAGCATTAATAGGCAAGAACACAAAGGCCACAGATCACACATTTATGTGGCTCTCTGTTTCCATGGAGAAAAATTGAAACTATCTGCTAAAATGAAATTACATATTTTTAATGCAACCCAAGTTTATCTACATTTGATTTTCAGACTTTATTTCCAGGATATGGATGTGTATGGAGAGGATATTAAAGTAAGGCTTATTCAATTTCCATTCTGAAAGGTCCATTATTTTCTTTAGTATATGAGTTACTAATACTTCCTCTAAAAAATAAACTCTCCCCAAATCCTCCAGTTTTCTGTAGTTCACATTCTGCCACATACAGCTGCATTTTCAGATTCCTTTCCCTACCCTACCAATAGGAAGCAGCTATGCTCATTCATCGCTATTAACTTAATGACACTAATCCAGTGTGAAGTACTCTGGAATAGCTCCGTGTGATTAACTCTATTCTGAAATGTAAATGGAAGGTTGATGAATTGTCAGAAGTGTGCCGTTGACATGGGGCTTTTCGGGCTGACGTCACGGTTTGCAGATGCCTTCAGTACTGTACAGAGTGGTGAGCCTCTGCACCTGAGCTCCCTGCACTGTGTCCAGCCTCCAGAAAAGAGCCTTAACCCCTTGTTATTTATCATGAAGAGATTTGCCTACAAAAATCTATACTGTTTTCCTTTAAAAAATTATAGACTATTGTTTTAATCTGGTGGTAGTTTTATCAAATTGTATATTAACCAGTTCTTTAAAAGTAATATTTATAATTAGTGAGTTTTTTTAGTTTAACCTTTTGTATACTTACCAGTAAATAAATATACAGATATTTTAAAATATTTTATTTGACTAGTATCTCCAATTTTATTGATCATTCTTACCTTTTTAAAAACCTTCCGATTATCATCTTTCCTTTATTCATTTTGGTTTACCTTTTTATTTGTTGAATCATAGTGGAAATAAATTTTTTTAAATTAAGCCTCTTAGCACATTTATTCTATACAGAATGTCTGTATATTGTAATTTTACTTGCTTTAGTATGTACATTGGTAAAGGCTAAAAGAATATACACCCTTCTCTATACTCCTGCCACTCTATGTAAATACACAAGATTACAAATGGTTACATTTTGCAGTTTTGTTTTTAGAATCATCTCTTTTTTCTAAGTGCGCTGATAGTAGCTCTATAGTGAATTAGTAATTACAGGTTATATTACACGTTTGCTTAATCCAAAAATGTTTTTCTAGTTCCGTAATTGTCAAAGTGGCATCTGGCTTTAAATTCCTAAATTGATCATCTTTTTCTATCATCAAATTTCATTTTCTTTAAAATGTACTTAACTAACAAATGTGTTCTCTGTTTTTAGGTTCGCTTTGTAAAGAATATAACTTCCTGGAAAGAGATGAAACCAGGGTTTTATCATGGACACATTTCTTATTTGGATTTTGCAAAGTAAGTTATGCCTAAAGTGACACACTAAAGAATGCCTTGTACTTCAGCAACCTAAAAGAAATAAATAAAAGAAGTGGTGTTATTGTTATGATTTTGATTTTCCAAAATAAGAATGTACAGTACTGAATTGTCTTTGCTGCTTTTAGATCCGTAATTTAAATATCCATCTAGTGTCTTACTGCCCTCTAGTGTTCATAAATTGGCAGTTTTCGTGTTAATTATACTCTAGAAATTCAAGTTAAGTTAAATTTAGGTAATGTTATTTAAGCTATCATTATTATGTGTATATTTCTTAAACAACCAGAATGGTGCTGTTCCAGGAGAACTCAAGTTTCAGCCTGATCCATCAGATTGCAACTATACCACTTCACTAGAAAGCAAAGAAACTCACATGATTATTGGTATCCCAGCATGTAAAAAGGAATAGTTGAAATATGAGTCTTGCAGATCTATTTGAACTCTTTTGTAGTACATATAATGCCATTTTGGTAAAGCCTCAAATCCTGTTTCCTTTAATATTCTGCATTAACTTTAGAAACACCAGCATTTTTCATTGTTAAAGCTTTAAACATAGTTCAGTCTTTAATATTCATGATTTAAAGGAATACATGTTCATTTATTTGCCAACTGTAAAAGATAGGGTGCAAATTTAAATATGGAGCACTTCACGAACTTGCGTGTCATCCTTGCGCAGGGGCCATGCTGATCTTCTCTATCTTTCCAATTTTAGTACATGTGCTGCCGAAGCGAGCACTATAGTGTGTAAAATGAAACTGATACTTCACTTTCAGTTTATCTCATTAAATTTGAAAAGTAGACTGAAACATCTCTGATTGAGACAGGTAATAAATCTTTTAACTTTTCAGGGAATCATAAAATTAAAAAGGAACCACCCACATATTGCATATATAAAATGATATATTCTAATTTCTATTTCTCCCACAGTACTGTCTTTCAATAAAGTGGTAGCTTCAAAGTTAGTTGTACATTTTTCTATAAATAATTCATGCTGCAATATTGAAAACATTTTATGGGTAGCTTTAAAATAAACTAATTATTTTTTTCTTTGCAGAGGCATTGAACCAATTTCATAAACTTCATTCATATGCATATTTTCCCTCAGGGTTGCGTTATCCTTGAATTGAATGTTTGTTATCCTTTCACCTAAATGATTTATTTTTCCACATACAACTCAGTTTCTAATACTTTAGGTTTTCATTATTAAAATTATGTATTGAGTCTTTGCTTTAGGCAAAGTCTTAAAACAAAACTTTGGTATATGCTTAGGTTCTTATTCTTGAAAAGTATAAAGCTTTCTGAAAGCTTTTCTTACTTGTTAGATATTGACATGAATGTTTAGGGGTTTAATATTTTCGTAGTCCTCTTATTACCGAAACTAAAAATTATTGTAAAAAACTTAGTAGACTTCTAAACAATTTTGAGTAAATACTTAAACAAAATCAACTAGAGGTGGGGGCTGGGGATTTAGCTCAGCGGCATAAGTGCCTGCCTTGCAAGCAGGCAGTAGTGAGTTCGATCCCCGGTACCGATAAAAAGGAAAAAGACAAAAAAAAAAAGATCAACTAGAGGAAGTATATTTAACATAATTAAATATACAGTCAAGAACTAGTAGAGATGTAAATAGTATCCTTTTAATTATCTTTTTGTTTGGTAGCCTTATAACCCATAACTAAAGAAGAAAGAAACATCACCGTACCAATTTTTAAAATAATTTATTTTAGATTATCCACTATTATCTTGATCAGCATACTGTTTACAGAGTTTATTAACATACTTGCCCTTAGAAGAAAATTCTGAATTTGGTAAAAGAAATTTTAATTGCATAATATTTCAGTTACCTTCACTGGAGAGATTAAAATGAGTGTATGTCCTTTCTAGTTTAAAGTGACTACTGAAAAGCATATATCTACTTGTGATCCTAAGTCTGCCCAAGGGATATTCTGATTATAAATGCATTTTTTTTTCTCACAGAACTTTAGGATGATAACCAAGACATCTTTTTTTTTTTTTACATTTTCTTCCATCTTGCTACTTTTTGTCTTAGATAGACATGATAAATTCATGTCATAAATTTAGAAATTTTATAATTTAAAACTAGGTTGGACATTCTCGGAATGTTCTAATGTATAGAAAATACAAAGTTAAAGTATAAATCTTGACCTTAATGAGTTCACTGAAACACTTTTTCCTCTGGACTCACTTGTTCAAAGTTGCAGTGTAAACAATGAAAATCCTACATTACCTTCCCCTTTTTAAATTCATGCTATTCATTTACCAGTATGAAAAATTGATTAAAAGGGAGAGAGACTGCATGTAAAGAAACCAAATAAATTGTTCCAATAATCCAAGCAAGAAGGCTGGGAAGAAGGCAGTAGTAAAGAGAAAACATGGAGACAGGGCACATCATTGAGAAAGTTACAAAAGAAAAAAATTAGACTTGGTAATTTTACTAAGTGAAAAACCAAGGGAAGAGTCAAGAAAGCATTTGAAGATGGGAACAGGGAGGACTGTAGGACGGGAGCCAGTCGGACAATTCCACGGTCTGCAAGTTTGGGAAAGTAAAGATCATTCATGTTCTGTCAGGTCTTTATCATTCTGTAAATAATGCTGAAGACTTAAGTGTTTTTCACTTCTCTCTTGTCTTTAACATCAGTAGAAGTAGGAAGTATAAGTAAAGTTTGGTGAGCCAGAAATGACACAACATTACTTACATTTAATGCGTATTTGAATTTCTTTGTTCCAGCAGATTGGTTATGGAACCTAATAAATCACTTCTTAATAAGCCCACTTTTAGATGATAAATACTCATTTTTGTATGTGTATGATAAGTTGAGAGAGGATTGTATACTTGGATTTGAACCCTAATGAAGGAATGAAATTGAAATGTTTTACATAATTCTTGCTAATAAAGATTAAAATCTTTATTCATTTTCTCCTTCCTCCATAATTTTTAAAAATTATTAGTTAACAAACAGTAACTGTACATATATATGCATAGGGTGCCATATAATATTTCAATACAGATAGTGACCAAATTAAGATAATTGACATTATCTGTCATCTCACACATTTATCATTTTTTTGGGTTTGTAACACTTAAAATCCTATTAGCTGTTTTGAAATATTGAATTGTTACCAACCATAGATATCCTTCTGTGCTGTGGAACATTAGAAGTTGTTTCTCCTCTCCAGCTGTGCTCTTGTACCTGTTAACCAACCTCTTTTCAAGTCTTCCCGCATACCCTTCCTAGGCTTTGGTAACCACTATCTGATCTCTACTTCTGTTAGATCAGCTTTTTAGCTTCCATGAATAACTGAACACAAGCAGTGTGCTTACTTCCTTTAACATAATGTCCACAGGTTCCATCCAGTTTAATAATGGAATTACAGAATTTCATTAATGTTTATAGCTGAATATATTCTGAATGTTCTTTTGCATATAGTGTGTGTGTGTGTGTGTGTGTGTGTGTGTGTGTGTACGCACACCATTCTTTCTTTATCTGTTCATCTGTTGGTGGGTACCTACCTTGATCCCATATCTTGTCTGTTGTGAATAAAACCAATAAACATGCAAGTATGGATGTTTTCTTAGCATACTGGTATCATTTCCTTTCGGTATATGCTCCCTAGTGGGATCCTATGGTAGCTCTGTTTCTCAGTCTTTGAGGAACCTCTTCCATGGTTTTACTAATTTTAATTTTCATTCCCACCAACAGTGCATGACAGTTCACCTTTCTCCCCATCCTTGCCAGCACTCAAATTTTTTGTCTTTTAATAGCCATTCTAACTTGAATAAGATGATATCTCATTGTGGTTTTGATCTGCATTTACCAGATGATTAGTAACACTGAGCATCTCTCTTTTTGTCTCTTTCTCTCTGTCTCTCTCTCTGTCTCTCTCTCTGTCTCTGTCTCTCTCTCTCTGTCTCTCTCTCTCTCTCTCTCTCTCTCTCTCTCTCTCTCTCTCTCTCTCTCTCTCTTTATGTACCGGTTGGCCATTTCTATAGCCTATTCTGAGAAATGTCTGTTCGGGTCATTTGTCCATTTTTTAGTAAGATCTTTGTTTTCCTTGCTGTTGACTTTGAGTTCCTTATATTTTGGATTTAGTCCCTTATCAGATGAATAGTTTAAAAATATTTTCTCTCATTTTTTAGGTTGTCTCATCATTGTTGATTGTTTCATTTGCTATGCAGCTGTTTGCTTTGATGTAATCCTGTTTGTCAAGTTTTGCTTTTGTTGCCTGTATTTTTGTGCCATATCCAAAAAAAGCTTTGCTATGACTAAAGTCCTGATGCGTTTGTCCTATGCTTTCTTCTAGTAGTTTCATAATTAGATTATTTGATCCAATTTGAATTGATTTTATATATGTTAAGAGATAAGTGTCTAGTTTCTTTGTTTTGCACATAGATATCCAGTGTCATTTATTAAAGAGACTTCCGTTTCTCCAGTATATATTCTTGCTGCCTTTATTCAAAATAAATTGGCTATAAGTATGTGAATTTATTTCTGAGTTCCTCCTTCTGTAGATCAGTGTCATAGTTTTTATGCCAATACCATATTGTTTTGGTTACCATAGCATTATAGTGTGTTTTAAAAGTCAGATATTGTGATGCCTCCAGTGTCTTAGTTACTTTTTACTCATCGCTGAGACAAAATACCTGAAGCCCAAAGTGGGAAAGGAAAGGTTTATTTCTTACAGTTTTTGGAGGTTTCAGTCCACATTCAGTTGGCTCCAAGGCAGGCAGGCATGGCTGGGCCGCTGTTCATGGCAGCCACCAACAGCAAACAGGACAGGCAAAGAGCAAGACACATGGTGCTGGAAAAACTGGCTCTCCATTTGCCGAAAACTAAAGCTAGACCCATGTCTATCACCATGTACTAAATTAAAATCTAAATGGGTCAAAGATCTGAATATTAAAACAGAAACGCTAAATCTATTGGAAGACAAATTGGGTAGAAACCTTGGAGACATAGGAGTAG